TGTGAGCTCTTTTGAATGCAACCACACTCCTACATGTGGCCGTGATAGTTCTGTCGAGTGCTGCTAGACTGACGGTGCAGGGACTCCGTAATCATGATATTCAATTATCTATCTAGCGGTGTGAGCTGTTAAGCGCCGCTAGACTTATATTGAACCAGACTCCTAGAGCCAAACCAGGCATCACTCAGAATCTAAGCCCAGCTGCCCCCAGCCCCTCTGATATCTGAGGACTGTCTGGAAAGCAAGGGGGTTTATTTTCTGCAAATTCTTTTGCCCTTTAATGTGACAAGCTTGAAAGAGATCAGACATGTTTAGCAGCGTTCAACTAGGAAATGCCTAAGCATGAAATCCTTAGCAACTGTCCTACCAACAAAGCCTTAAAAAAGTTTCCTGGTTTTTAGTAGTCTTGCATTCAGAAAAGGCAGAGCTTCAACACCGCATGTTTTCATAACCCAGCTATTAACTTCATAAGAATATTGAAAATGATCAGAAGTGGCTGCGCTGATCACAAGGATGATACACTTTTCATGGGAGAGCTTGTCAGGCAGTTTTGTCTCTCATGCTGTATGACAACTGGTGAAAAGCAAATTAGTGCAGTGCTATGGAGGCAGTCATTCTTCAAAAACACATATTAAAAAAGCAACTCACTGGTGATGTAACCAGATCTAAGACTTAGGAAAAGACTAAATCCTTTTAAAGCAAGATCTGCATATCCTGAGGCAGGAGGTTCAAAGGCACTCAGCGGAGTGTCAGCCTACCACCAGACAATCAGCAGTGCAGCTGTCAGGGCTCTAGCATCTTTATCAAGAATTCAATAGCAGGAGAATAAGGTGTTCTGCCTAACAACTGCTTTGAAAGCAAGAACAGTCTTGCTTTGAGCTTTCTATCAAAAACCACAAAAAGGACTGGCATAAAATTTCCTGTCAAGCTCAGGGTGACCTTAGGATAGCAAAGCCTGGACATGGCAGGTGAAGGGAAGGGCAGGGAATGCTGTAAAACTGCTGCAAGCCATAGTTTGGTGCTCATCGTCTATAGTTTCTCTACACTTGTATGAAACCCTTATATCAAGTGATCTGGGAGAAAATATAAAATCATTACTGACAGAGTTTGCATACAATACTTAATGTGACAATGACTAAGTCTGGTCATGTTAATGTGAAATAAACTGTGCTTTCTTAAGCCATGCTTTAAAGATTTTTTAAAAAATTTTGTAGGAATAGGAAAAGAGGTTGCAGGAGCAAAAGAAAGTAGCCTATTTGATTAGTAATCTGAAATTTATCACTGCTTGTGAAAGTATTTTGCACATATAAAAATGATCATATAGTCTATCACAGTTATTCAGGTCAAAGCCTGAGCAGTCCCACAGGAGCAACAGCAGGCTTTTGAGAGGAAATCTTTATTTTAGGTAAGGAGAAAGAGAAATGTTTTAATGTGATCCAGCTTTGACTAAGATCTCAATGTTCAGAAGTTTTAATACTGGTAATGGCTAAGTACATTTAGTTACCTTACAGTGCATACCGCAGCATTAAACATGAGTATCAAAGATCTGGCAAAAGCTCCCTGAGCTAGTAATACCCAATTCCCTACTCTAAGCATAATCC